CAAATAACAGCTTAAATATGCATTGGCATGTTACAGATATCTCTCATTGCACAGTGCGCATGCCAGGAAGGATACACAATAATTCTTTGGTGAGAACTCTGTCACCTTTTCTTTTTCTTGTCTTTTTTTTTTGTTTTTGCACGTAGGTGAAATTTTGCTCACATGAATGTACTGGCAGCAAGGTTTAAAAGAACATTATAGGAGTGTTTAATAATGAAGTACTTTTATTCTGGCGTTACTGTAGCAACACTAGAAAATATACTGATTTGATATTCTCTTTTTTTTTTAAAATCATAAACATAGTAATTACACTGGGGCTATTTTTGCTTTAATTTATCAACATTATCAGCATGAAATTGTTGGAATAGCTATACTAGGTTCTCTTCTGTAAACTTGGGAGCAGTTTTATTGCTGGTCATATATGCTTATTCTACTGGATAATACAGATTTATTAAAGATTAATTTAAATAAACTGTTAGAAGATTGTACTTGATACTTATGAATCTTTATGTATGCCACGAGGTAAGCAGTATGTTTTATTGTGCTGTAAAATAATCTTTGTTTTCAGTGCCTCCAGTAAATATTTCAGACATTTTGTGTTATTTCTGTAGTTTCATCTGCATTTTATATTGGATCGCCTGTGGTAGAGGACATATTGTGTAACGTAAGTATTGTTGTCACATAACCTCACTAATTGGATAAACAATATTTTTCTTAGCATTAGACAGTAGTTGCTTGGAAAAAATCTCAGTGATGCTGCATGCTTTTCTCAGAAATATTTTATCTCAATAGCTTTTCTGTTGCTCTGATGGTTACACCACTTTTTGCTCTAGAAATAGTTGTACTCTACCTGCCCCTCTCAGGCCATAATCTTGATAAAAGTTCAGGAATTAGTCTGTTCTGGCTCTAATTTATAACGACACAGTAAGATAACTTGCTTTGCTTCAGTCAGACTTTTTTGGGGGGGGGTCTGTGGCTCTATTCTGAGCAGAGCTTTCAGTGTTTATGAGTGTGAGACAGACCTTTAGTAGGTTGTGTATGAGGCATCAGACAAGTGTTTCAGTATCTGAACATAAAATGGGCCCTTTGACTCAGTTACAAATGACAATCTTTCACACTGCTTCAGTTTGGAGATTTTTTTTGTTGAAAACATGGGAGATGAAGCCAGCTCTGGGACAGTTATTATTGAACAAACCTCTACAAGCAGCACAGCTCACAGATTAGGCAGTGGGGAGTTGTTCTGTTTGGCACAGGCTGCCAGGCCATGGCTGTACAAAGGTGATGTGTGGGATATATGACGTTTCAGAGAGGGAATGAGAACTTAATCTAAACAGAGAAAGCAATCCTAACAAAGGTATATTTCCAATCACTTTTCTTTTTTTTTTTTTTTTTTTTCCTGCTTGCTGTCATATTTCCACTACAAATATTACTGCTGTGCATAGCTGTCCCTTTTTAAAGTGATAAATCCCAGACCTCTTGGAAAGGACAGAAAATGCTTCACTCAACTACTGATTGTGAACTCAGGTGCTTCCTGAAACCAGTGGGAAACACTGAAACCGATACAGGAAGAAAAGCCACATTCAGGGCCTTGACCTGGTTACTTTATTAAATTCTGGTTATCTAAAGGAAGCCTAGATAAGAGCTGCTGGAGTAGTTTGTAAAGTAGGGAGGTTGCTTTAGAAGAAAATGCCGAAAAAATCCTTTCTTTTTCTATCTAGCAAAACACAGGCTGAGAGATTATATAATTGCTGGCTAGACATTCAGAAAAAGAAACAAAAAAACAAAAAAAAAGCAAAAAAAACCACCCTGATAATGTTGGCCAAAGAGCAAATACAAGATGAAGAGTCAAGGACAATAAAAGCAAACATAAAAAATATCAGAATAAAGACATACTGATTGTTAAAAGTAATAGAAGAATGAGTTTTTGAACTAGCTTCTTTAGGTGTTCATTGGTGATAACACCTAACTAATTTGATGTGGGAGCACATGTGATAGGAATGGGGCAAAGGGACAATATTACCTAGGGTAATCTACATTTCTCTTAGATGTGATGGCAGTGGAAGCTGTTTCCAATATTGTACTCTTAAAATAATGTCTTAAGGCACCTTGTACCAAGTTTGCTATTATTTACAGGTGGCTGCTCTTAGTTCTCTTTCAGCTCAGATATACGGCATACATTACATACAGTAAAATTCTAGATGTTGTCAATGTGGCTGCATTACATTACTTCAGGGCTTATCTTGCTCCAGTAGCTTGTAATTCATTCAAGCTGTTATGTTTATAGCAGTTATTGGAGTTAGGTGTCTAAATCACACTGATGCTGCACATAAATAAACATCAGCAGTTAGATATATTGGTTTGAAGTCTGCATTCCTTGGCTGTGAATAATTTGTGATGTAACAGTGCAAGTTTGGCTTTTGAAACATGGCTTTCCAGGCTTAATATTATATTGAACTCATATTTTAATACATTGCCAATTAAGTGCCTTAATTAGAACAGAACTCCCAGTTTTCCCTATTTTAATTCTCGTAAATTAACTTGTATTTGAGAGTTTCTATTTGAGCAGTTTAGGTTGAAGCCAACTGTGAGTACTTCTAATTGAGCTTCCTGTGAGAATAAGCAGCCTACTATTGAATTTTTTAATTTTATTTTTAAAGTAAAAATGATGTTTTCCTCTCCTCTTCCAAAGCAAAGAATATATTTAGGTATTTGTCATTCTGGGGCTGTCAGTGCCATTCTCTGTGCTCACATGCATGTAAATTTTTCTGTGGCTACTGCTCTGCAGATGATTTGCTTGCAGCTGTGCCAGAATCCCTTGGATCTTGCTATTCTGAAACAACCACAAGTATCACAGAGAATGTGATATCATTATAGTATTACATTATTGATTCTCCTTATAAATGTGTCTGGTCCTAGTTTTGAACTGGGATTATTTTTCTTTGGGAAACAGCTCCAGAAAGGTTCTATAAAAAGCCGTCTTTCTTCTTTTCTGTGTGAAGAAAATGTAATTGCTTTAAAAAACTTTCTTTCTGAAGCATTGAAAATTTTCAGTTGAAAGAACTGTGATAATTCAAGTCCAGTAGCATTTTTCTGGTAACAAGATCTGAAGGTGGCAAGGATGAAATGTCTGTCAAGTTGCATATGTCTTCTGTTGTTCTTTGGCAACATCTGTGTATGTTTGTCTCTACCTGTATGCATGACTGTAAATATAGATAATTTTATGGATCTTCATGTTCACATGCATCAAACATCCCAGCATCCAAGCTACTCACACTTAACTTTTTATTACCCTTTTTCTTATCCAGGACATTTTCAGGTTGCTTTATGCTTTGTCTTGGAGTAAAGGAAAAAAAAAGAATTCAGAAGAGCTTTTCAATAACAAAACAGAGGTATGTGAGTGGTTGTGTGTTAGTCAAGTTGTCAATACTTGTCTTATCTTCAGTGCTGAGTGATCTATGTGCACAAATTTGACCTAGATCACCTAAAGTCCATTCACATTTTGGTTAGTATAGCCAGAACTCGTCATAGGGCTTTTGCTGGTTTAAGTTGTCTTAGAGAGAAGAGATATTACCTAACTCAGTCCAAGAAAGTATAAACAATGTAAAAAAAAAAAACACTTCTTCACAGTTATCAAGTCACAAATTATTTGTAGCAATTAATTACATTATGAATCATCAATTAATTACATTATGAATCATTCCTTCTTGTAGTCATTTCCCCACACCCCCCTCATGAAATAACTTAGGAAACAAGTGAAATCTGAAATTTAAGCATCCACCAAATTGAATACACTCACAGAAATACAGGAAAGATCATCACTTGCTCAGTTCTGTACACTTTCAGCTGCACTGAGTCGCAGACAGAATGAAGCATAAGAATAATAACTTAATAAACTATATATTGCAGTAATTCACTCTGTATGTGTGATGTTTAAAAGGAAACCTAGTAACCCAAATAAGTAAACCCATGAAACAAGGAATAGGCTCAACATAAATCAGCAAAAAGCTTAGTAAAGATCTGGGTGATACTGAGATATCGCAGCCTTTGGCAGGTTAAGCAGTACTGGAAATGAGAAGGCATGTTTATCACAACGTGGTATGTTTTGCAGATTCCTAATTGGGAACATACTTACCACACAGCTACTGGAAGACCTTCCTTGAACTGGTCTTAATGCAAATGCTGGATCAAGTTTTTGCTTACACAAACCCACTGATGTTAATCGCTAAATGCTCTTACTTATTAGCAAGCACGGTGCCTGTGGAATTTATACAAGGTTTAGTCTGTCCATTTTGTTTTATTCCATCTCATATTTCAGCAAGGTGTCATTTTCTTGTAAGCAAGTTTATCTGCATCTCCTTTGGCGTGCTTCCTACTCATTTAAGTTGCATACTTTGTGATACATTCGTACACTCCTGGATGGAAAAATAATCAAATGTAAAAGGATTATCATTGAACAAAAATATTTGTGTTTAAGTGGGTCAATTTACATTGTTCACTGCCTCATTTTCTACACAAAATGTCACTGTTTTATACTTGGATTTCAGTTCATAAGGATAAAAGGCCTTTTGATTAGCAGAACTAGACTATCCTGTGCAATCTGTAAGTACGTTTGATTTACTTTGACCATACTGTCCTATTTTTTCTCTCTTCAGATCATGAAAGTGAACTCTTCAGAAGCTGTAATTCCTTGTAGTTTTTTTATTAATTGGCTCACGTATTTAAAACTGGTGAATTTGGTATTAATAAAATGTATCTGTATTAGCTAAAATTACTTTTTATTCCATAACATTTTGATAACAGAGTTTGTCACAATGAAAATAATTATGATGAACAAAAAGCTCCCAGAAGAAAAACTCAAGTCCTCTAACAGTTTTAATAATTTCTATTCTGGAGATTTTCTTCTTGATTTTTTTTTTTTTTCTTTATTTTATTTTTGTGTATGTCTATTTGTTGCCTTTTTTTGTTTCTTTCTTTTTTTTCTTCTTTTTTTCAGTTAAGCCATGTTAGGTGTTAGCATACCAGCTATTCTTGAGAAAGAAGAAAATCTTGCAGAAAGACTTGAAAAGCCACAAGGAAGACAGAAACCAAACCAGAAAGTACAGGAGACTGTTAGACAAAACAAACCAGAACTCAGAAGATGGAAAACAGAATGTGTGAATGAGGCTACAGGGTGAAAGACATAGCTGAGGCTGTGAGTAGTGCAAATAAGATAGTTCTGCTTACTTGCCTCTACAAAATCTACGCAGCAAAATATAAATTGGAAAAAAAAAAAAGAAACTAGCTGAGAAAAAAGGTCATCTCAGAATCTGTTCAGTGAAATCTGGGACCAAATAACTCCAAGTGAAAGTGGCATTAAAGTAATGTGGAAGAGAAAACTTTAAAAATGCCATGCAGAAACAGTCTATCTGTCCCTGTACTCTAGTATTCTGTTTTTAGCTGTGGTATAACATGTTTCAAAGAGAGCTAGATGTGGTAAGCATTTATAAAAGCTGTCCTGAGGATTAAGTTTCTTCCTGCACCCCATCACAGGTTTGTTTATGTCCTGAGGCATGAAGATTAATATTCTTCTCAAATGCTTTTGTTTTATAAAAGTTTAATGTTTTCATGTTGATACTCATTTTTTTTAAATTATTATTTCTAAACCTACTGGCCCCTGGGAGCCAGGAGTGCCTGCACCTACAAATTCCACCATATAGTTATTTATTGTTTGCCAGAAATACATTTTTACATCTTTAAAGAGCAGCTGAAATAACAGGGTCCTTGCTCCCTGAGACTTACTGAGATCATCACCAGCCAAAAACAAGGGCAAAATGGATTTAAGCCACAAGAAATGTGGTGAGGGAAGGAGAGAGAACAGACAACAACAGCACTATTTCACCAAGTAGTTGCCATTTTTTTCTGGTCCTTACAACTGCCACTTACAGACATAAAATGTGACGAACACTACAACCAGATGCCTGTACTGATCTGTTCAGTCTGCATAAAATGTTACTCTCTAATTTTCAGTAAAGATGACTTTAGTTAAAATGAAACTTCCAAACCCCACAGTCTTAACTTATCACTAGAGTACCTGCAGCAAGTGTGGGAAGGAGGTAGAAGGTTTGCGTCTCTTGTCTGGACAGAATAAGTTTTTATATTCATTAAGCTTAGTCAATGTGTGTACTCTAAGTAAACAAAGTGAAAATATACCCGTGCTTACAGTGATATGTTTTCTGGAGCCATTGTTCTACAACAAAAACAGCTAAATCCTGAAAACATGAATATGTGCCTAACTCGGTAAATATAGTTCAAGACTTCCAGAGCTTATCAGTTTTTTTCTAAAACCAGAAGTCTGTAAACTGCAGTGGGATCTACAATGAAAGAACCCTTCTGAAGAGCCAGTTAAGGAGACTGTTTTTCCCCCCCATTGTTTTATGTCTTATGTACAAAATGGACTGCAGCGGCTAACCTTGGCTGGCTAAGCATTAGATACTAAATAAAGCCTGTCACAGTTTCGGTTTTTAAAGACTTCAATATTTTGTATTTTGCTCTCAAAATCTGACATCTTAAGAGTTAATTTTTATTACTGTTATTTGGTATTTTGCTATTTTTCTGGTAGACAAGAAAAGTGGATATTATCTGCTTTTTAAATGATGTGCATCCCATGTAAAATTATATATGTAAAGAACAGGAATCTTATGATAAATATCAAGTGTTACGGGAGTTCTAAAAAAAATTGTAAGACCCAGTAATTCTATGGTGCTCTATGTCCACCTGAGATAACCTGAAATGCACGCAGCTTAAAAGAAATCTCTCCTTGCCCAAGTGCTTTGCATCTGAGAAAAACAAAGTGAGAGAAATAACGGATCAGATGTTACAGAAGGATAGGGAAAAAATGGGAACACAATGACAAATAAAGGTCTTAGCTGTGGCATTTAACCACAGAGCTACTGTGAAGGTAATGAAAAACTCTCTTGCTTCTGGTGGTGCTTAGGGAGCAATTATAGAAAGATAACCTTCTTGAGTTCCGGGTGCCAAAGAGCTCTGCTGCTGATGTCAGTCTTTTAAATGGCCTGTGTGGCCTCCAAGCAGTGACCTACAGAAAAACAAGAGATATGTTGCCTTCTGCTTGCTACCTGCAGCAGTGCATGTCCCATGGCTATGCAAATCAAAAGTCTTTCCTTTATTCTCCGTACCCTCTTCATGATACAAATAGGTATTTATAGGGGAATTAAAGATACAGATAGTATTTTAAATAACTCCCGACTCATACAGTATTTTAGCATCACAGATACTTGCAATTTGTTTTGCAATTCTCTTTTTAATGCTATGCCTATTTAAAAAAAAAAGCAATACCAGATTCCAGCTGAGAAGATCTTGTAGTTTAGGTTTTTCTGAAGTCTTAGGGACTCATTTCATTCGCAAATGGATCCTTTATTTACTGACCCTCGCAACAAATAACACTGAAAGCTGTATTGTGTGGATTATTTTTTGCCTTTTGTTTTTTTCCTATTTTTCTCTCTAATTACTTGAGCAGATATTTTCTGCTCATTATGTGAGAGTAAATTTTTTCTCAGGCAAGAGGAGGTTGCCATTTTGTATTTGTGTAATAGTTAAAAGGACTTTAAAAAATGGATTTCTTTTATTCCTTGAATCATAGTATTCACTTAACTCTAATTAAGTTAACAGTTTCAGTTGTAATTTAACTGAATTGAATGATCTAAGCCTTGAGAACTGATAGATTTAATGTCTTACCTAATATTTTCATACTGCATCAGGTTTTGCTTTCAGTGAAGCAGGTTTGTTAGAAATGGCTTAGCTGTATAAACAGCAAAATTGAACAGGACACTGACTGTATCATAAAGCTGACTGATAGGTGCATAATGATGAGCTATTGCCCATTAACTGTAATGTGCATTTAAGCAAGTCCATTTCTAATCACGAGAGCCCTTTGGCACCAGTGTCTCTTTAATTATTCCTGTAAGACCCACTGGCTTAGATCCCTGCTTTTGAGCAGGGATATATTCCTGATAATAGGGCATGAATAACTGGTTTTGTACTGAATGCTCATCTTAGGCATCATAAACCAAAGCATCCTAGACCCCAATTATTTTAGAAACAGGTGTTGCTCCTTGTCCTAAACCATATTCATGTTGTGTGATTTACGTTGTTATCTGCAATCTACGCATTGTCATTAAGGTCAAAAATCCATAGTTAAAAGCTACTAAAAAGGCAGATTCACTGTTGAAATAGTGTGTAACAGCTAGGAAGGAGCTCAAGATCGGCTTAAAATCACCAGCAATTACCAGGATTTTTGAAATTCCAGAAAAACAAACAAATAAACAACCCCCCCCACCAAACTCTTTTCTATTTTAAAAGATGACTCCAACTAGAATTTGCATAGGATTTTCTGTGTTCTGAATATTGTGGCTTGAGAAGGTTTTATTTTCTCTTTTATTTCATTTGTTTCTGTATGAGATGTTTACTCTCTCCACAGATGAAGAATCCAGTATGCTCTTCTAGTTTTATGCATTTTGGGCATAGTTCACCAGATCATGTAAAAACCAAATAAGGAACTGCAATAAGAGGGGAAGTTGTATAGAATGAGAAGACATTTTTTCAGAGCGCAAGAGAAAAATGACATGGACAATTACTGGCAACAGCAGTTCAACTTCTGTCAGAAGACTTCAAGACTCTTTTCTTCAGAAAACTTAACTAAAGACGTAGAGGTAAATGGAAAATAACTAAAGACGTAGAGGTAAATGGAAAATGGCACAAAGACAATATGGATTAACAAGAGGTAATGCATATCACAAAGACATGGTGTCTTTCCTTGGTAGAGGAATTGATTTTATTGGGAAGAAAAATACAATAGAGCTAATCTATCTTGAGTTCAGTGTAGCATATGATTTAGTGACTCAAGGACAATTATTTCAACTTGAAAAGACAGAGCAACTTTGTGGGGTGAATGATGGATTGACTTAAGAGGAAGGTGAAACAGGTAATGTTGAAAAGGGAAGGAGCAGCTTGAAAGTTAGCATCCAGTAGAAATGCAGTAGGCCTGATCTTAAGAATGATTAAATTGAATGCTATTGCTAGTGACTAGCACCTGTGATTAGAGCATGCTGGTGGAGATTGCTATTGAAACTACTTCCATGCTAGTTCAGAGGGAGATTAGAATTCTCATCAGGTAAAGTTTAGCATAGCAGGCTGCTAAAAAGTGCAGGATTTTATGAGGCACCTTTGTAAATACAAGTGTGATGAGTGCAGTAACGCTGGTTAATGAAGGCTTAAATTCAGCTGAATTTTTTTCCCTAGACTTCTTCAGTAATGCCATTCAAAAATAACTTGTTTATAGGAAAACTGGAAAGTAGAGAAGATTATATTTGAAGATTCGTATTGGTTGATCTATAAGAGAGGTATAATTATTGCAATTTCATATTTCACTAATGAGGTCTTTTTCTGTATTTTTCAGAAAGGAAAAAGGAATGTATAACCTCAAACACATCAAATGGTCACTAACATGGAAAGGCACAAGAAAAGACAGGTAGGACATAAAGGCATTTAGTTTCAGAACTACTGTTTTTCAGAATGCATTAATTTGCAATTGAACAACAAAAAAAATGCTATTCATGTATATATGAGCGAAAAATCTCAGTGCAGGCAATAAATCCTTCTTCCCGTGAACACAGAGAGAGTACCTTAGTGCAATGTGAAACTACACAGGAGGAGGTAGGGACTTTTCCATACATAATGAACATAATGAAATGTGCATTGCAACACTTTTCCTGCTGCTTGTCTGCAACCAATGGACCTCGATTTTTACCTATATCTGGATTTCTCAGCACACCACGATAACTTTTCTCAATGTACATTTCCATTATTTTGAAAACTGTATTCTGACTATCATCGAGTTTGCTCTGAAATTTCAGAGACTGTTAAGTAAATTGGAGGATTTTGTGTTTCATACACTGTAGCCATTGTCCCAGGTTTGGGATTTCTTGCTGAGTGATTGTAACTAGGCCAGACAATGTAATAATGCAGTATCTTTCTGAATCAAATTTAATTTTAGTTATGCATGCCAGTTCTATGTTTTTTAGTAACCTAGAACTTGTTAAAGGTGTTTCTTAAAAAAGTACTTCTAACCAGAGATTCTTGATTGGAATCATCTCTGTAAGTTATCAGGGAGCTTTCATGTATCAGACACAAAATAATCTGAGCTTAAGGAAAAGTGGAGAATGGAAAGACTTGTTTCTTGGATATAAATGTAAGGAAGCTGCACATTGAACTGAGACACAGAAATGTAACATAATGCTCCAAATTTACTCTTACAAATTTCCAAACTAAGCATGGTATATGCTATGCTTACCAAGTTTTGTCATAGTAATCCTTTACTGCATGAAGTAAATAGACTTTTGCTAGTGATGACATGATTATAATTGCAGCACATTATAAAGAAACAAGATCTATTTGCAATAAAATTACTGGTAGGCCACTTAAAAAATGATTGCAGAGTGTTCTTCTCAGAAAATATGCACACACAGCACAGAATTGATTGCAATAATATTTTTGGAACATGGACTTCCAGGTTTGTGAAATGTAAATAAGATTTGATCTTCCAGAATAGATGAATGGGATGTAAAGTTGAAGAATGCATGGGACTTTGACTTGTGCTCTCTGTTGCAGCGAGGAAGTGCAACTTCTGTTGTGAAAAATCATGCCATGGCATTTTGGTATCTATTGCATTTTCACATGTAAGAGCACTTGCTGGTTCTACGCCCATCTAGTCTCTGTCGGCTCCTTCCAGCCATCTTGGCCTTCATGGAGGACGTGGTTCTTTTCCTTAGTCAGTAAGAGTGTAGAAATGCCAGCAATTACAGACCTTATAGCTGTCCTGAAAGAAAAACATACTTCTCCCACTCATGTTAAGCCAGAGATTTTTCAATAGTTGTATGCACCATGTGAGCAGGATGTTGCACTTGCCAGAAAAATGGAGTTCTGCTTGGTCTTAAAGCTGTGTCAATAGTAATGGAATCCATAATATCTGTAAAGAGCTGTTTAAGATGCTATTGTAAGCTGCACTTTGCAGAATACCATTACAGAGTGATATTTACTACACAAAAATATTCTCAAGAAGCAAAGTCAGCTACAAAATAAAATCACTGATAGGCCTTTCTTTAGATGAGTTCAGTTTTGAGACGCAATTGTATCTGTTTTCACTGGAATTAGTTGTGGCTGGAGAGCATTCACAGTATATGGCTTTGCCTCGGGATATCATCTAACAAAGCGTTAGTCTGGAACTAATACTAGCATGAGAATTTTTGTCCAGAGCTTAAGCAGATAATAGCATTTACTGGTCTGTTGCTTAGATGCTGTGTTTGTTTCATTCTGTGCAGTAAAGTCATTTTTGGCCACTAGATGGGACTAAACAACTTCACGCGGTAGTATTAACAGCACTGTTTGAGAGTTTGTTTCCCTTGCAATTAAAGTTTTTTCCACGAGACTTTACTGAGAATTGTGCACCCTCCTTCTCAAAGTGTGAAAACAGCAGAAACTTACAATGAGAATCTCCTTAATGCTAATGAGAACGAAAAGAAATCCCAATCAATACAGTCTATCCCAATAAAGGAGCCAGCATGCACAGAAGCCAGTCTTAGTTGCAAAAAATAAGATTACCCTCTCTGGAGAATAACACTGCAATCATGCTGCTTGAAGATACCCCACTACTACATTTCTCGTCTTCATCATCTTTTTCTGTAGAGTGCCATTATCTTAGTTAACAAGCGAGTCTGACTTTCTAAACTATGCATTGTACAAGTTTCTTTTTAGTCTTGAACTCAAAGTTCTGTGATATTTTATTCCGATTAAGATGGTGCGAGAAGTGAAAGAAATGAAAGCCAGTTATGTCTTTTCCAACTAATTCATTACATTCTTCTTTAGATTTCCTGTGTGATTAGTTTCAGACTGATCTAGAGCAGAAAGCACTTTCCACTTTGATGAACTCAGCAGGCTTTATTTCACTCTGAAAAAATATTTTTCAGAGTGATCTTGTTTGACTGTTGTGATTGTGATGCTTATTTTTCCTTTCTTTTTTCCTTGTTCTCAGTCTCAGAGTAGTAATTGCACATGGTTCTTTTTGTCTGACGTCTAAAGATATTAAATTTAATCAGCATAGGAGAACAAATTTTAATCCCAAGGCTATTTTAATCTGAAATATGCAGGAAAGATCTTAACCTTGATAGGGTTGTTGCCAAATTTGTTTTTGTTTCTTGATGTAAATGTGACCACTGAGCTCTTTGACCATCTGTTATAAAATCTAACTGGAAGATAACAAATAAAAAAAAATATTTATTTATTTATTGAATATTTAATAAGAACAGGTGGAGCACACTCACAGCTCTAGGGTCAAGTCCAATAAGATAGACTGTAATTTTACTTATCCAGTCTTTCTATGGAATACACTACATAAATTGCTGTTGTATCTACACTGCATATTTAACAAGGCTTTTATCATCCAAGCTCAGGCACTGAAAACCACCTAACTTTTGATTTATTTTGCCCCACTGAGAATGTATACTCTAAGGCATGAAGCAAGAGGATCAAAATATTCTTATTCCACCTCATCCAGGCAGCACAGAATAGAGATAATACCACTGACACACTGAAATATCACAGCTGTTCCATCTGGCTTGCATATACTTAGAAGAAGTGGAATTAAAACCTAAATTCCAGTGGTGCCTCACATAAATGAGATTTTGGTTGATTCATGTTAGTCCATTACAGTCACTTAGATTCTCTAAGCATGACAGGGAGATGGATTCCTAAATTCCAGTGGACGCCATGTATGTACAGGGTGCAGAGAACAGGACCTCATAAATGCCTTGTAATTATTAATACAGATAACTGGGAACAGAGAAGAATAATCAGTTTATCTTTTACCATTTGCAGAATGATGTTGTCAAACAACCCAATCAATAAGGTTCCTAGTTCTTAGTGCTGATCTATATGCTGTGTACATTCGTGTGTGAAGCAGGTAACTAGATATATATAAACACATTCTGTTTGTGTAATGATAATTGAAAAGTGATTAGGATATGTTCATATGCATTTGAAACTAATAGTCTTAATATTGGCTGATGCTCAGAGTTCATTGTGGGTGAGGAAACCTAACGTTTTGTTTTTTTTTTTTTTCTTCCAGAAACCTACAAATACTCCTGGCTCAATGCTATATAAAACTCATGGTCTATGAAGAAAAAGGTGATTTGCATTCATTATACAAAGCGAGAAAAGGTAAATACATTTTCATAAATACATGTAAATATTTTCATAAGTGTATGTTAAAGGCTACATTTCCAGACATTTTCCTGGATGCATTTATAAATGTTCTTAGTGTCAGAGGTACCTTGGAAATACTGACAGAACTGTTTTTGCAGTAGCATACTTCATTGGTCAGCTAACTTTGAAAATGAAAATTGGATTCTACTCTGCATATCTTGCTCCACAACCAGCTTCAAGTATTTTATTTCCAGCTACATCCTACAGAACGGAATGCGTTATAGAGGAGAAAGCATATACAGCAGATGAAGTCTCCCAGCAGGTTTTTTCCCAACCTGAGATGCCTGACATTGCAACACATACTTACTTCTGTTTTTTATCACTAACAGGAGGAGCAAGAAGGTGTATGTGTATGCAAAGGGAAAAGTGCAGGGCATTATTGTTTCATGTCTGGATGGAGACAAGATCCTATATGAGTCCTAAGATCAAGGAAGCCAGACTAGTTTTGAGAATATTCTTTACTCCTCCCCTCAGCTTCATGAAGCAGGTATGTGAAAAAAAATCTTTTTTTCACCCTCCTTTTATTTATCCCTCTTACAGAAATTATGCTGTTTTTTTTCTTCCAGCAAATAGCTTAGACTTTTACATTTTTCTACACCAAGGGAGATTATTACTGCTGCTTCTGTTGTTTAGCTGAGTAGAAGCCAAGAAATGCTGCTGTTTTAGCTGTGATAGAGGCACTTTTCATTCCTTATTCCTGATGCTCACAAGTGCCTGGTCATTTTAATCATCTCAACTGCTGGGGAGAACACTTAATCTTGAGGCAGACATGCTTTTGCATTAGAATTCCCTATTTTCAGAAAATACATGATTACTATTACTTTTTAGAAATAACTTATGTTTATGAGTGAAACTGAATCATTACCTGCTTGTATTTGTGCATTCACACGTGAAGTTTCACATGATTTTTTGCAAATCTTGGCTATCTGTGGAGATCTGAGTAACACGAAAGCTGTGTTTTGGGAAAAACTTTCAAATGATAGTGTGGTGAAGGCTACTTTTACAGGGTGAAGTTAGCTGCTCTCGGAGGTTTATGCAATGCCAACAAGTCTTACAAGGAGGTTTGATTGACAGGACTTGAGATACACTGGTGATATCCACTTGAAGGTGTTGAATAGGCTGCTTAGTTCATAGGAGGTATGAATAAGTGCCACCAGCAAACACCATTGCTGAAGTCTGATGGGATCAGAAAATCTCTCTCCCATTCTGTCTTAGCCAGAACAAGCTGATGAACAAAAGTGCTTCATATAATGGTGGCTTAGATTGTTTTAACTAGGTCAGTGAGGTTCACTCTCCCGTGGGGTGTTTTTATACTTTCAAACCTACCCTGATTGTAAGGGTTAAATTAGTGTTTAGAGGTGTGTATACTGGTCTTGGAGAAAGAAAGGATTTCAAGACTTATATTATAAATGCATTAACTGAGGCTTTCTTACATTTTTATCACATCAGAGCCTGTAACTCTATAAACTCTATCTAATGGTATGGATTTCTCAGAGAAATACTCACCTGGTTTGAGTTGCAGGCTAAGTGAATCAATGCGCCCTGTTCCCTGGGGTGTGGTAATCATTATAAATTTGGTACTAGATTACTCACACAGAGCCCAGAACACTACCATGTTTCTTCAGAAGGGTAAAAGAGTTCATTTTCCCATTAGGCTGTTTGAAAGTCTGCAGTGAAAGGAAAAAATATGGTTTCTGATCATCCTGGCCAGGAATATCTTTTGGACTCCCAATTCCTGAAGGATTCTTCAGTATGTTCATTTTTTAATAGTATTAGTGCTAAAAGCATAAGACAGCTAGTGGTGAGACCAGATAATAAGAAAACCAAAACACTTGTGGAATTATTTAAGATATGTAGATATCTTTTAAAGTAATGCAACAACAGATACAAAGAGTGCAAGAGCACTGTTTGGTACAGCAAATTTTCAGCTACAAAGCATTGTTTTTCAACATAGTCACCACCATTACCTGTGCATTTTCACTAGCCACGAACAAAAGCCTGCATGCTGCACTTGTAAATATCTGCCCCATGCATTGCCTCACCGTGTTCACATCCACTCTTTGATCCCCATCAGCATTTAGCAAGCATTGATGGATGTCAGTGGATGTCAGTTTTTCTACATAAAGGACTTCAATGTCACATCTTTGCTCCACACGCACTTCCATGTCAGATGCCAATTTGTCAGACTGCCTCTCTGCTGCCATCTGTCTCACAGCAACAAAATGTAATGGAATATTGGTGTGGGAAGGTTCAACCTTTACTATCACCAACATCTGCTTCTGATGTTGTGAGCCAACATAATAAAATAGAAGGCATTACTTTTCAGAACAAAGAAGCTCTAAATTGTGTGTAGCACAGATGTGAAAAAGTTATGTTGGGCTATATATATGTTTAAATCATTTTGCAAAGATAAAAGAAAGAAAAAGTAACAATGCAAATAGCTCTGGAAATAGTGCATACAGCTTTCAGACAGGATGCATTCTTTGTGCCTCTGGAAAAAAAAATAACAGCAAAAAAACCACTGTGTTTTTTACATATATACTTATGAACAAGGCACATGTAGAGGGAGTTTTCTCTACTACCAGCAAGTCAGAAAAGCTGATGATACTGCAGTATTTATTTACTCATGAGACATCATCATGTTTGCAGCAGATACCTTCAGAAAGAACAAAACAATAAAGCCCAGAACATAAATATTTCCACTTACATGGTTATGCTGTGTGCACTTTAGGAGTCATAGTTCTCTTAAGCTACCACTGGTCAAGTTAAGGGTTAGCAATAAGGTGCTCAAGTGTGCACATACGATATTTGGAGATAGTGAAGGAATGATAGAAAGGCATGGCTTGAGGCTTAGAAGCTAATAAAGAGCTAGACCTGCTAAATTAAAGCAAACAATAAATTATTAAGTTGAAATGAAGAAAATGTATATGAGAGAGAAACCTTGCACAGCAATGCAAGCAGGCAGTTCTTATTAAATCAGAGACAAACATAAGGTAATTACAGCTGCCTGTAAGGTACATTGCTTTACTTGTAAAATAGTCAGACCTAGAAATGTGTGGCTTATGTGTCATTGGCACTGAAGAAAGTAAGATAGAGAAGAAAGGCTTTAGTCTGTGAGAACCAAAAATATTTTGATTTCATTATTTGCAGAAGGTCACTGTTAGCTGAAAGTGACTACAAGCCACTTATTGCCATTGCTGTAAGGAGTCCAGCAAACAACCTCTAGTGAATAAAAACATCATTTTCAGCTGCACATGAATGCTTTTCAGAAAATAAGAGCTGAGGAAGGATACGGTGGTGGGAGATGCATATTCCCAGACTGCTTGACTAATGCAAGTCAATAATACTTTAACTTGCTTATGTACTTGCTATAATACAAATCAAGCAAAAATATCTGATCTGTAAAAATAAAATCAGGGTTATTCCTGGTACTGCCACCTCCGTATTCTAGGTGGTAACACAGACTGTTATCCCTAGACAAGTTTTGTAGTAAAGAGGGTTTTGTTTAAAGATTCTTGAACAGATATAGAAAAATATGGTAACAGGGATGTGATGATTAAGTGGAGAAACCTAAGAAAATGATATTACATACACCTATGAAGATTGACATTAAAAGAAATCCATAAAGATTTATTTCATATATCAAGAATAGGGGATTAAGCAGTTTAACAGTTCAAAATGGAGTTCAGTTTTAGGGGACATTAGATGAACTTCTTACCTGATCTAGTAAAAATAGCGTATGTTCCATCTTTTAATCTTTTTCTTGGCACTATCAAATACTAGAACAGCAGAAATTGAGTGTATATTGTTACCTGCTGCCAAATTTATCATTTTAAAACCACAAAGGAGTTACAATCCCATATATGAATACAAGTTGGGTGATGAGTGGGAGCTCTGTGAAAAGGACTGGTTGTAGCGGATGAAAAGCTTGATGCAAGCCATCAGTGTGTGATTCCAACCTGGAGACCAGGAAGTATCCTGGTCTGCTTCAAAAGATGAGTGGTCAATAGGGCAATGGAGATAATTGTCCCTCTGTACCCTGCCTTTGTTAGGTTTCATCTGCAATACTAGATTCAGGTCTAGGGCCCACGGCATAAGAAAGTAAGCTGTTGGAGTGTCCAGAGGAGAGTCAGGAAGATGCTCAGAGAGCTAGAGCGCTTCTCCTATGGAGAAAGGTTGAGGGAGTTGAGGTTGTTTATCTTGGAGAAGAGAAGGCTCCAGGGAGACTTCATTGTAATCTTCCAGTTCTTAAAAGGAGATTATAAACAAGAAGGAAACCAACTTTCTACACAAGCAGGTAGTGATAGAAAACAGGGGAACAATTTTAAAACTAAAGAGGTTAAGTTTAGATTAGATGTGAAGAAGAAATCCTTCCCTATGATGTTGGTGAGGCACTGGAAGAGTTTGCCCAGAGAAGTTGTGGATGCACCACCCTTGGAGGTGTTCCAGGCCAGGCTGCATGGGACCCTGGGCAGCCTGATCTAATGGAAGGTGTAGGGAGCTTGGAATTAAATGGTGTTTAAGGTCCCTTCCAATGCAAGTCATTCTGTGATTCTAAGTAGAGAACCTTGTCTGTTACAATTTCTGGGAAGAGTAAAAATGTGGAGAGAGTTGACCATGGGACAAAGCCAGTCTCAGGGTAAGACAAATACATGAGATACGACAGCCTTATTGAGATCTGTCTTCATTTCTTCATTCCCTCAGAGCCATCATTCATATTTAAACTCCTGTAGACCTAAGAAGAACCAGAATGTGACTCACCAGAGAAGTGGGAAGGTTCTCAGCACATCCTCAACAAGCTTTCTCTAAAGACTGTTTCATTATAAACTATATTCAAATATCTACTTTTACCTCTGGCAGTGTTAATTTTCAGACTTGTTTCCTTCTCCTTCTGAAATGTCAGGCTCAGGCTAGTAAACTGTTAGATGAGCTCTTGCAGATATCTCTGCAGAGGAACAAGATAACATCTGGCAGGCAATGGTTACTTATTTTAGCATTGCCAGGATGCAGGGACTGTCCCTGAGGAAGACTTGTGAAATGCTGTATTGTCAGAGGAGGTGAGCCTGCCTCTGACTGTCACTCCCTGATTACAGTAGATAGCTGGACCAGCCTTCCCAGGGGAAGCCATACCTCTGCTCTCATGAGAATGCTCAGAAAGCACCTGCAGATCAAACATCTGTGTCTAAGGATTCTTTCACAGCAAGACAATTTTACACTGCAGCCAAAACCTTCCTGAAAAATGAATTTTGCATAGGTTGATTGACATTTATAAATCAAACTGGGGTGGGGGAATGACAGCAAAAGCATAGATTTTGGGACTTAAACTGAGGGGAATTTTGTCCATGGCTTTCAAACAGTATTGAGGGCACAGCATTTTGGCTCCATCCCTCAGACAACTTCTTGTTTTGGTTGAGAGGCAAAATCTTGCTGCACTCATTTCATCTTGTGTACTTTATCAATGCAGGGAATATCCATCCTTGTAGTGCT